GGGTCAATCAATCGTCATTTTGTAGAGCGTTTTTTACTGCATCTTTTCTTCATAGAGACAAATTTACAACCACTTGTTTCACTATAGAAAAATTTATTATTCAAATCGAGTCAGGACTTCTGGCCCACCCTTTATCGTCTTTTTTCTCTAGATTGAAAAATCTATCATTTTCTGTAAATATTTTCTCAAGAACGGTATGTGATGTTGAAAAATGTGAAATTTGTATTGCGACTGAACTGATGCTTCTCCCTTTCGGAGACTTTTGATATTTGCTGTCTTTTCTCGGGTGTTTCGAAGTAGGTAGTTTGACTGTTTTGGACTTGTCAAGAAAACCGATAAGTACTCTAACAGCATACAGGTACAATGTACTTTTAGAACAGAGTTCGTTTACCGTGTGAGTCACTTTCATAGATATGGCACTTGTATAGTGAATAGGTCATTATTATCGCCATTACATGTACTAACGTGTTATAGATAATTAAGTCAATGATGTACGATAGTGATTGCTCTATAATTTTAGAGATTAGAGCAGAGCTGCAACTGAGAACATGGTTGATGGTAGGGATTTCTATATGTTCTGAGCGTTGATTAGTTTTGTCTTTTCACTCTCTCTCACCGAGATTGTACTGAAGTCAAAACAAAGAATCAAAAACTCTCTGCTGCTTCAAACCTTCTTAAAAATTTACATAACTAAATGTACTTCTTCCATTCTTCCTAGAGTAAGCCACTTAGAAAGTTTATCAAAAAAGGAAAAGGACGAAAAGGCTTTTTCCTGAAAACAGAAAAAACCATCACGAAAATTTGGCAGTAAAAACTGTTAAAAAACAAGGTCATATCTGTTTAGAAAAATCCACTCAGGAAGTTTGCCTAGTGCAAGCGTTGGGTATAGAAAACATACGCACTGATACTCATCGAGTGCGTTGTCTTTCATTCGGGTTGAGATCGCTTCATAAAAAAAGGCGGAAAACTCCATCTTATTTTCTAACAGAAAGTATTCTTGCTGGTATTTTGGGCTTGTGTTTGCCAATCAAGCGCGGGTGGCTGAAAAACCCATTGACTCTGTGAATAACTAGACAAAGCCTGAACATAGTTAAAAAGAAATCGTCTGCATTCAAAGCAAGAGAAAGACGCGATGCTAAACTCAAAGAAGTGCGGTCGTGTGATTTGCTTCCCATCACATTCGCAAGTCTTGCGTGACGTGATTACCATGCAGTTTTGTTTTGTTTTAAGCTTTTTATTTATCACCAATAAAAAAATATACAAAGCATTAGCAAAGCGAGAGTATCATTATTTCATTAACAAATTGTGCTCCACGTAGTATATAAATAGTTAAAAAAAATGTAAGAAAGGAAACATGATAACCAATAATAGTGATAAATAATGGGTAAGAAAATTTGATGAGAGAATGTGTTTTAACATTAGAAAAGAGACACATGTGTATGTAGAAAAACGGAACAACAATATTAATATATCTACGTAGAAAAACGTTGTGTGTCGATGATGTACCAGATAATAGAATGTACAACGTTTCAAAAATTTTCTTTATACAATGAAACTTTCAAGGTCAAAAATTCGAGTGACAACGTCAGTTTTTGTTTATAAATTCTCTTTATAGTCAGATGGCTTCTTTACACAGACATACGAAAGTGTGATACGACTCATCCACGAACACATATTATTGTTACGTGACAGGCAGACACAGAACAATAAAATATTATAACGGCTTTGTTCGAGTCGAGATCCGAGTCTGACTCAGAGTAATAAAAGAGCGTGTGTCACAGAACTCTTAAGGCATTTTACGTTGCACTGTTACTGTATAAAAATATTTGTCATACTGGCAAATTGTTTTTTACCAAAAATATTTTAAAATATATATAAATAATTAATAAATCCTCTCATATTGTCCAGAAAGTGTCAAAAAAAGATAAGTTTTAATAAAACGTGCTGTCCTACTATTATTGATTGTCGTAAAGATTTTCATCTATGTCGCAGTAAAACTTATTTAGTCATCAGTTTGTTTTTTATTATACTTGGTTTCGCTGATTTTTGTATTAATCAGTGTGACACTTACGTTATCACATCACACTATTTCAAGAAAATGTTAAAAAGACATTTGAAATATTTTACAAGTATCTAAATATTAGTGATTTTATACTAAAGTACGAAGATATAACAAATATTCAAATATCAATGTATTAAAATATCGACTTAATATGACTGATACTTGCATTTGACATAGATATTTGTGAAAATTGAGATAATCTAATAGTTTCTTTAACTGTTAAAACAAAATTTTTATTTAAAGAAAGGTTTCTCTTCTAAACATAAGCAATATCTTCTCTGAATCAGTTTTAATCCAAACAAATTGGTTATATTAAAAGAGAGAAGAACAATTCATTACATAAACATATACATGAAAAATTTTCTGACATAATCTTTTTACGTCATTCTGTACATAATATATACATTTATTTCAAAAATTCATTATTCATAATCTTTAGAAGAGTCAAATGCTTTTCGAGCTTTTTTCAATTCTTCATTCATCATTAATAATTCTCTTACTCTTGTATATTTTCGAGTATCACGTCTTAATAAATGTAAAATATCATCGACCTGAATACGTCCTTGTTTGCTTATTCCAGTTGCTTTTAATGTCTATAGTAAATAAAACAAAAATATGAACTAATTTGTTAGTTTGTAATGTACTATTATACCATATCTGTAATATATTGTAAAACAAGATCTTCTAAGACATCAACCGATTCACTATAGGGATTTATATCATCTCCAAAGCCAAACATCATACATCGAACTAGAACACGAAGAAGAATTGTCTAAATTTTGATTAATAGAAGAGGATTCTTCCATCCTGTTTTATTCATACTCTGCAGAGTACACTTTAACGCATTTGGGTTTCCAGACTTGTATTTTTTAAATAAAAACACTTTTTAAATTCTCAATTTTCAAAAAATTTCAATAAAAACTCTAGTTTTTTTTATGTGAAAAGTTGATTCTAGTGTAGTTCGATAGAGTACATCAAACTGTATATAGAAAAAAATTTCATCGTTCCCGAATGACGGACGTTTGATACAGAAATTTAACTTTCATTTTCCTAATGGACATTTTCGAGCTAAAAGTATTTTGAAGAATCCTTACGGCTACTTTCACTCGAAATAAGCATTTCGGAGACAAGGTCTGGGCACGAAAGTTGTTTAGAATCAAATTCCAGAGTCCCTCACGAGAGCTATTCACAAAAACAAATTTGTTTTCAAAGTTAAATTTTATAGTTTTTGAAACTTTTAAACCAGTGGGCCAGTAGTATTTTTCAATTTTAAAATTAAAATAAGAAAGTTTTGAAAAAAGCTCTCGTAAGAACTCCGAAATTTGATTGTAAATAACTTTTGTGTTTTTCTCTGAAATGCTTACTTCGAGTGAAAGTGAGGTGGGATAAAAAATTTTCCTTGGGCCAGTGGTATGTCACATTCAAAACCGGAAGAGTTTGAAGAAAATCTAAATGAAGGGGAGACATTTCCTAAAAATGTCATTATACGTACGTTCTCTTGACAATACACGTCGTTTTTTTTCGTTCGTCGTGGCTGGCGGTTTATCATCTTTTTCGTTTCCTACCTAATAAATAATAAAGATATGCTGTATTAAGTTAGCGTGAATAGCTCTCACAAAAGACTTTTTTTAAGTATAAAATAAAATAATTTAGAACATACCCCACATTTGCTTATTTTTACTGATATCTAAACGTACCGTCCTATTGTTAGCTAAATCGTCAGCCATTGCTTTAAAAAAAATGAAATAGAATCTAGAAAAATGTTTGAATAAGTTATCTTTTCTAATTTAAACAAATATGATAAAAGAAGCAAGATTTGATGCAATCTTCAGCGAAATCTAAGGGGTAATATATGATAATAAAAATTATTTAGATCATGCGAGAAAAGAAAGAACTCCACAAAGCTTCGTGTACATCAGACATATCATTCTTTCCAAAGAATGACATGCCTGATCATTACAATATAAGAAGAAAAAAAACAAATTGCTTCTAAATCAATACAAAAATAAAAATTACCAAGGAAACAATAAAATCATAAGCAAAATGAGGGCATGTAAAGCTTCTAACTCAACCATTTTTAGAAATAAGAATATTTCGACTCAACCACACGTATTCAATAAAACGCATATCTAAACGTAAAAAACTAGAATGAATCCATCCCTTTTTCTAAAATCGACCAGCTGCGATATACAACGAACAAGAACGCAAAATTTCTCGTTTTCGTAGGTGTGTAGAAAGAGATGAAAAAAATGTGCTTTATTTCATGCACTGTTTCGTTTTTCAGCAACTCAAATTCATTGGATGAAAGTTTTAAGTTTAAACAAAAACAAAATGAGATTTTATTTCCTGTTTTTCCTTTTCGAACAAGCTATGATTACCGAGATATTCACTATTCTATACTATAGAGGGCGCTGTTTTTCTGAATATCTCGGTAGGCATAGCTTGTTCGAAAAAGAAAAACATGAAATGAAACGTCATTTTGTTTTTGTTTAAACTCAAAACTTTCATTCAATGAATTTGAGTTGCTCGAAAACGAAACAGTGTGTAAAACAAGCACATTTTTCTCATCTCTGCCCACGTATATTTATTTTGAATCGGAGGTTGTTCTGGTTTTCACGACCTCAGACGGCATCAAGCAAAGTAAAGCACTGCTGGATTGCTCTAAACAGATGGAAATATAACTGTCGGATCCCTTAGAAAATAGCACTTCGAGAGGTCGATTTAGGCTTTCAATTCCCTCAAAGAATTTTAATTACTCAAAGATGAGGTATGCCGCGCGGATGCATCAAGAGCTTGGAGATTCATAATTTTTCGAGTCCTTGACGCACCCTCACTAAGCACTCTATCGTCGAGTGCTAGAGTTCTTCAAAGGACTTGAAAGCCTAAATTGATCTCTCAACGTGCCATTTTCTAAGGCCTTGCGGCATTGCTCTCGATTCATTTCTTTTGCCTGCATGAAATACAGTTGACGAAAGCAATAAAAAAAATAGCTCAGATACATGGAACCGCAAAGGTACAAAAAAGTCATTATACTCAACAGTATAGGCTTCAGTTAACGAAATGGCTAACAACAGGGTTTCAACAGGCTTTTAATTGTGAAAAATGGTCAGTTAACAGGTACCATTTATTGTCCTTCATCTGACATAAAAACAAGCAATTAATTGTGTGTTAGTAGGACTCAGATTTAGATAACCATTAAATGGCATTTTATTGTCGCTTTAGGATGGTTACATAAACAGCCAAAAACCAACATTTAACGTTTATCATTTAATTCACCCTTTTGTTTCGCGGATCCCTCTGCTATATATCTCACATTGTTTTCTCATAGAAAACATAGACTTTTGTTCTTTGACTATATAAGTCATCGAAACTTGTGTCGAGGAAACAGATACTGGTTCTATGTATGGTCATCGCACCTAGTCAATCGAAAATATTAGAATATTTGAAATGTCTTTTATTTCGAAGACTTATATAGTGGGGGAAGAACAAAACTCTACGTTTTCTATGCGAAAACAACGTGAGATATATATATTGTAATTTGGAATTGTTTTCTATTTTATAGAGAATCGATCTCAAAAATCGCCAAGGATTTTCCAGCTTTTATAAAATTCTCAACGATTTTCTAACTTTTAGAAAATCTACTCGAATTTCTATGAATTTACATTTCTTATTCGTTAGAAAATCGATAAGGAGGTTCTAAAAAGTTTGAAAATCGAATTCGATTTTTTAAGAAGTCCAATCGATCATTGTTTTACCATACGTTTGACAGCTCCATGTGAGTGGTGGATTTTGACGAATCACGATTAAGACGTAAAGTGTAAAGAGTCATTTCTGTTGGGGGAACAACCCTCGCCATGAATAAAAACGAAAGTCATCGTTAGCGCTTGTTCGACTGGAACTTGAAGGGGAAGGAAAATTTTTTTAAGGTAATCGCTGGTCTAAGTCTACCTCTTTTATCACGCACTATTCCTATTTCGTAATTTGTTTTTCATTATTAAAAGATCCATATTGTCATGTAACTAACACCACAACAGAAACAGCAGCATAAAAAAACTTCAGATTCAAAAACGATATGTTCTCGAGATTTAATTGTTCGAGTTCTTAGAGATTTTATTTTTGTTTATACAAATATTAGAGATGTTCTAATTTTATTTTTCTAGGTAGCTATCCTTTTTGATTAGATTATCTAGGTTTATACAGTTTTTTATTCTTGTGAACTGTGAACATAAAAGTCAAATATTTAAAAGATGCACAATAATAAAGACTAGAGTACTACATTCCACTCAACTTCGAAGTTCAATAGCTTTAAATAACTGTGAAAAAGTTCATCTTCAACCGTTTTCAAGAAAGTAATCTGAGCTTTCGATTTTCGAAAAGTCCGTACATAAACCGCTGAGAATTTTCTAGATTCCAGAAAATCGAACTTCCAACAATCTAGAAAATCAAGCTCGAAAGTTGAAAAATCGTGCTGAATTCTGTAAAAACTATTCCCAACAATCTAGAAACTCGATAGCGATTTTCGACATACTTGGAAATTCGATTTTCTATAATCTTGAAAATCAGTGAGGATTTCGTGTATAAACTTTTTGAAAATCGCCGAGCATTTTCTATAAATAATTTCCGACTTTACAGTCTAGTAGAGAGATCCGTGAAAGAAAAGGGTGAATTAAATGATAAACGTTAAATGTTGGTTTTTGGCTGTTTATGTAACCATCCTAAAGCGACAATAAAATGCCATTTAATGGTTATCTAAATCTGAGTCCTACTAACACACAATTAATTGCTTGTTTTTATGTCAGATGAAGAACAATAAATGGTGCCTGTTAACTGATCATTTTTTCACAATTAAAAGCCTGTTGAAACCCTGTTGTTAGCCATCTCGTTAACAGGCCATTTATGTCTTATTGAGAATGTCAATTGTTTTTGACCTGGGTGGATAACTGATGAAGTCAAAAGACATTTGACTGTAAAACTTGACATCGGAGAAGTGAGTGACCACAGCATACATTTTTCTGTATTGTACATCCAGAAAAGTGGATGAATTTCTGTTGTTTATCACCCATCACCCACTATAGCAAATGAAACTTTTGTTCTACTAGCTGATCAGTCATTCACTCTTATAGGTGGCACTATCTACCAAATGGATGTTGTTCACGTATCTAGATGACTTATGAAGCCAAAAGAGGTGTTAAAACTGATTTCTGTAGTAAAATCCGTGTTTTATCAAGAGTTTTGACCATTCAGAAAATTGCAGATCTACATGAGAAATTTTAATGAAACTTTATTCGTGTGAATTCAAGAAATGTCTGTGGCAAATGGCGACAAATCCTTGATTTATTGGTAATTTTAAGTGTACCCGGTCGAATCTCAAACTTGCCGAGGCAAACATAGAATCATCCTTTGCAAACATTTCGGTTTTAAATTTGGTTGATATAAATTATATTTTAGTAATAGTCTAGCAAACTGAATATAGTACGAATGATTCTTTAAATTTGTGCTAAATAATGATGCCGTTTCATTTTCTTTACATTCAGCCCACTCACCTTCACTTATAGATGTTGTGTTATGACACAATGAAATCTTGCAGAAAAACTGCGATTTCATGGTGCATAATAGCGATATCGCGAGTATGCACCATGAAATATGGGAAGACGTCTCCTTATTCATTAGGTTGGTACAAAAAAGGAGGTAAACTAATTGAAAGTAAAACAGGAGTACAATCTATAAGCTTTTGATCTAACGGACATAGGCAAAAAGTACTTTTCCATTCACGTATTCTCAAATGTCGGAGAATCATAGATGAGTTTCTTCCCGTGAATAAATTTTACGTGGTGAATACGAGAAACTCACGTACTATTTCACTATCAAACAGAGACAAATTGCTTTTTTCTGAATCAAAAGTAAGCTTTTAGAGAAATGATGTACTCTATTCTTGAGTTTATTCAGCGCAAACAAGAGATGAAAATCAAAACGATGAATCATTCGGCTCTTACATATTTGTCACTAGATTATTCCATTCGATGCAACAGCAATGATGTAATTAATTTGAAGATTTGCTGTGAGTTGAATACAACAATGCAAACCAATGGTAAAACAATCCGATTAACCCACATAATTATTGTAAAAATTTCTAGTAGAACTGTAAGAGAAATACATTCAATTTAGAAAATCGTTACTACTTAAAATAAGCAATTCATTGTATTAAACAATATTTTGATATTTAAACAAGTAGAAAAAAAATTATTTTTGACCCTAGAAATACATGGTTGAACGAACCCGTGCATTGTTCAGTAATCTAAGAGAAATTATATTAAATTATAATAAAACGTTTAGCTTACATTTGTGATAATATCAATAAAATGATATATGTCAATGAGTAAAAGAAAGAAAGAAAGATGTGTATTAGTTGATATAATTAAAACCATGTTTTAATAATATAATATAATCAAAATCATAACTGGCTATTATTCATCTCAGAGAGTACTGCAATGAATCAATTCAGAAGTCCTGTCTATATAATAACATTCAAACAGACAGTACATGAGAGAGCTATCAAATATAAGTCGATAACTACTTACTATTATGAACGTTCATTTGAGTACTAATTTACTGTACCATTCTAACTAGTAGACACATATTTTAAAATAGGATGGTGGATTAATGTTTCATGTACAATAAAAGCAGGTACAAGGCTAGATGATACCAGAAGCTACTATATGTATATAAGAGAAGAAGAAAAAGAAAAATTTACGTCATTGTGCATTAAATGCTTTTAAATATAATTGGTTTTCCTTCGTTTTACTTTTATCTTCGTTTTTTTCATTCACTGAGAAGAAAAAAAGAAGAAATATATTTTAGCTACAAGATTATTACACGGTAAAAATATATTTAACTGATAACATAAAGACGTTGGCGTCGTATGTATAGATATATACTCTAATATCTGTTCACTATATTTAAGACGAAAGAGTATAGTATATGACTATTATTTAATGAACTAGAAGAACATTATAATCAATTAATCATATTTGATAAACTGAATAAATATCAATATGGCATCATTATTTAATAAAAAATCGAAAATTATTTCAAGAATACTTCGAGTGTAAGTTCATATATTATTTTCTTTATTTGTATGCGTATTAATATACGCAGTTTATCTATAATAACCGCCCTTAAGTTAGTAAGTACATACAGGCCTATTTTAACTTTGTCGACCGAGTCAAGCGCATCCACATATATTCTATTTTCTCTTTTCTTATTTATTCATTTTTCTGGATTTGTCGTTTGGTTTAGTAAATTAATTTAGAAAGATTGATAGTTCAATTTCGAGACATAGTCAAAACCTTTTATCAACATAATGTCATTAAACAGGAGACATACCAGTGAATATATCATGCAGAATCTAAATGAAACTGTGTGGAACAAAATTGGTATTGGATAAATATAGTCTATAGCTGTGAATGTAATTTCAGAAGGTTTGTACTGTTTTTAGGTTTTATAACTTTAGTTACGGGATGTGTGTAAGCTTAATTTTCTCTGCAGTATTGAATAAACTTTTGTGCTTTTGATTCTGTTTGAGTAAAGATTGTTTAAAAGTTAATATTACATCTAAGTCTAATTCTCTCATCATTAAGAGATTACAATTGTGAGAGTTACTACGAAGACATCATGAAAACAGAATGTAATGAAAAAATCTTTGAACTCTACTGGAGTAAATTCTTTCACTTGAGATAGTCTTGCTCATTTCTGGTATTCGGGACAAAAATACGGTCTGTAAGTAGTTTGAAGCGAAGTTCAATAATATTTTATGTTAACCCATTGTTGCTGTAAACGATTGTGAAACTGCTACTTGTTATTCCAGTAGTATATCATACAATCGCTTCGTAATTTGATAAAAGAGTACTATCTCGAAATAGAGAATGAAAATGTATAAGTCAGAATTTCGAAAGAAACTGATATAATTATGCTAATATCAGTGTCTAATAATGGTTCCATCGTCTTTTGATAAAACTGGATTTTTTTGTAATATCATATTCAAAAAGATATTTAGTGTATCAAAATTAATCATTTTGTTTACATCTTTTGTTTGAACACTTCCATATATTACTGCGATGCGATATATTAATAGATAATTATTAGCAGATGAATGTTTTGTGGTGCTTTTTAAGAAGTTGTTATTATTAAATAACGCCAATGTTGATTAACTTACAAAATCTAATAGTTACTTTTTTTTAACACTGTCCGTTTGCCTGACTAGCAAATCGTACCTCTTCAAGTCTGATCTACTAAGCAAAAACGAATTTTTCTTTAGTATTGCTCTCATTAAAATTTTCGAAGTGAGAATAAATAAAGATTAAATCAATTCAAATCGTATGAGAAAAACGAGAAAATAAAAGTGTTAGGATATACTTTTGTTGTTCAAAAACAGATTTTTTACGATTTTTAAGTGTAAACATGATTGATACCATGGCTTTTCTATCGGTGAAAACCGCAGGTCGATAGTATTTTAGCAAATGAAATTAAAGAAAAAACAAATTTTCCTGTGCAATTGCGCAAATAATTTTGGGACTCACTGTACAACTTGATCAATGAAACAAAAGGAAATTAATATCTATATGACAAATAACACAAAAAGTGTCATTACAATATATATTACAAAAGCTTCTTTTTTGTTCTTTCTCTTTTTTGGTAGTTATTTGTACAAGACCAGATTTCAAAATAAAATATTTATAAAACAATATTTTATTTTTATGGGTTGTTAAGTGATGATTATTATACCCAGGCGACGGACTATATTTCTCACTCGCACTTATAAGTGTGTTCAATTCTTAACGTATTACAAAGTTAGAAAAACATTAAACTGCTGCTACGAAAGATTCTTCGTATGCCTCATTCATCTAGAGGGTAAGATTTCAACATATTATACAGAGTTGTATTAGAGAAAACATTTTCTGAAAGTTCTTATGGGTTGGTATTATTCTCCAGTTACTTGATCCTGTTATGACGACCCTGTTCTGAATCTCAATAAGAGGTTCATACATTAAGTGTGCAAAAATGAGTGTTATGAAACCAAGGGGGAAACAGCTGATTTTTGGATTTTTCCGATTTTCACCGATTTTTGTCAATTTTGCTGATTTTCATCGATTTTCACCAAATGAAAAGTCACCGGAAATGACTGAAAGTCATTGAAAATCACAGAGAATTACAGAGGATCAGTGAGAATCAGTGAAAATCAATGAAAATCAATTGATTTTGAGTGATTTTCGACTTATTTTGGGCTGATTTCAGTCTGCTGTTTCCCCCTTGTACAAAACAGTATTGCTAAGATATATTGTCATTAACAACAATTCTTTTGTGATGTAATGATTAGATATGTTAGCATCATCTTCATCTTATCATCTCACCCTTAAAACTGAACGTTAAGAGAATAAAAGTGGGAAAAACTCATCTCTCTCTCTCTCTCTCTACCACTCAAATTGCGATGGGCTGATCCAGTAATCACTTGTTTCTTTCCAACTTTACTTGAACAGGCAAAAATAGTAGATATAAACTGTAAAAACGCCTCGAAATCATCTGCACACTACATTAAGAAATTATCAAATTAACGTTTAAATAATATAATTAATCAACATTCTTATATAATTTATACGGCAGGCATGTGTGTTATTGAAGATGTTTTGCTATTACTTTATGCTACTATGACACACGACAAACAAAAAACAAGTACAACAAAAATTATTTGTTTGATTTAAACATAATCCGAGAGCTGAAAAGCGTCCTCCGCCATTGTTGCAGAACAGAAGAAGGCTATGTAGAAAAAACCGACTAATTTCGAAATGTGGGCCTTCATGAGTAGTATAGAGACCGAATAGTCGAGTATCGTGCAGTAATGGGTATCGTTCAAAGGGTACACGAATAAGTAGCAACGATGAATTGACGTAGGAACGCGCATTTTTTACACTAGAAAGTAGAGATCTGCACGGACAAGATTTTTTGCCCGTAGTCCTGTACAGGTTGCTTGTCCGTACCCGTCTGTAGATTTTTCTTGGTGCCCGTGCTCGTGCAGAAAAAAATATTTTTTTCTCTCTGGTGTGCTACAAACGTGGTGTTGTTTTTCTTGTAAAATCTCTGTCCGTCCAAAGAGAGCAGTTGCCCGTCCGTACCTGTCCGTGTCTTATTCGAGCCTGCCCGTGCCTGTCCATGCCCCCTGCCACAGGAATTCCCGTGCCCGTACAGATCTCTACTAGAAAGATGGAAAGAACATGGATTTTAGAAGATATATTAGAATCCAAAGTTGTTCAGCAGATGTGATTTAAAAGAAAGATCAAAGCTAATTTGTTCAGATATTACCGAAAATGTGTAGTTGATATCATACATCCACTTTTAAAACTGATGGCAAATGAAAATGTACGCACAATTCCATACACGAATTTATTTATTCTAATTATTTTTTGCTGTATCAGTGAATTAACATCAAACATCCCATATTTTCATCTAGTCCAATTAACTGTGAAATAATTATGTCTTCTTCGGTCCATAAATGATGACACATCTGTTCTGTCTATAATTTCATTTTTTCTCGTCGTGACAATTATTTCACATGTTTTGTTCGTCGAGGATAATGTTTCGACTTTCTACCCTGTTAGATAAAAAACGAAGTAAACAACAAGTGTCGTAATTAAGACAAATAAATATTTTCCTTTCTTCTCTCTATTGACAAAATAATTCGTCAAAAAATAGCGTAAATCGGATAATTATGAAAGATACTGAGTCTACTTATCCATACTAAACTGCGAGAAAGAACAACCAAAGTATAACTATTCGTTACATAATTATACAGTAACGACATTATCATATAGTAGTAGGTATATGTCTTTCTCTCTGAAATGGTATTAAGGATCATAATAAACATTGAGGATTTACGATATAATGTAAGTCAATATACAATGTCAGATAGAAGTAAATCAAGGGCGATGATGAGGCCTATTCAAGTTACTGTTTGATGATGTAAGAATATTGTAGATGTTTAATCTGGGAGGATGTGAAATTCTCGAACTATTTTATGTTGTTGATCACTGTAAAAGCCACTTGTTTGCGTAGTTTGATGAAAATCTGTGGCTAAGTTACAGTGTTAAACCTGCTGCCATGTCATCTTGAAAAAGTTCAGTAAATTGATATATTTTTTTAACTTTTAAGGCATTCCGTTCATCCAACTGATAGTTTGGTTGCCTCAAACCAGCAACATCAACTGGTACCCCAAGAGGCAGAAATGTCTACCACCCGATCAAGTTCAGTGCAAAGTTTGCTGGGTGGAGATGAAACACCTAGTCGTCGTCGTTCTCGCGAAAGTGGTGATACAAATGCGAGTAAACCAGGACTATTAGCAAAGCTAACCGATGCTAGAAAGACGTTCTTCGGTCGTAATCAAACACCCGATACACTATTTAATTCGCATGAACAAAATAAACTTCTATTATCCTACATCTTGTCTCAGCCTCAACCTCAATTAGATGCCATACAGGAACTCGAGAAAAATGGTGCGCAACTGAATGCGATTACTGAAGACGGGTGTAGTGCACTACATCTGTTAGCACGAGCTGATTTACAGTCGATGGAATGTATTAATATTGTTCAATATTTAATCACAAAAGGATGTGATCCTAGTAAACAAAATGATTATGGGTGGACAGCTGGCAAGTGCTATTAATTGATACTACTTAAACATATTTCATTTGTCTTATGTTATCTCGTTTCAGCTCATTATGCGTTGGCTACTGGAAATATAGATTTGGCGACGTTTCTTCTAAAAATGATGATCGATGTCACAGTAGCTTCATCCGAGCCTCTTTCATTTGAGAACATAGGTATGCTAATGCAAACTATCACATTCTGATTACTATTTACTTTAAATTAGAATGTACTCTGTCGTTTTTCGAATAATCCTCCATGTGTATATCTTTCATCCGTTTCGGATATTACGAATATTTATCGATCCTGCGGTTTCGAACAAATTTGATGACACACAACAACCACTGGAAATAATATCGTTTGACTCTCGTTTTAAAGAGGATATTTTGGATCCTCTAATCATGTAATAAAATCAGTATAGTGCTGTTTGAGCTCTTCAGGAAATCTGACATGGCACTCCAAACATCGTTGAATACCCTACCGCTGGAAGAGATTTTTGAAGGTTTGCTTATGAAAGGCTGTCTTCCGGATTTCTCTGTCGCTTAGCGAAAACCATCAACCTCTGTGTTTCTTGTATAAAAGATTATTCAAAAAACGGTAGAATATATTCTATTTTGAAATTGATGGTAATTTCAAAAATCTTCGATTAACTAAAGAAGAGAAAGACAGCCACGGGGGAAAAGGCGGCTCTGGGAGCTTTCCGGAGCCGTTGAAATGCTTTCCGATGTTTGAGATGCTTAGCATCCGATGCAGAGCGATGCTCTCCGATGCTAAGAAAGGAAAAAGTCGCCTTTTCCCCCTTGAAGACAACAGTGCCTACGAGTAGCCTTAGAAACTCGAGAAAATCTATCATTGCTTCCAGAAATCATTATTTTTCTGTTTTAAGATTATCCTAGTCAAACACAATTGCTCCATATAGCAGCACGTAAAAACGAAAGTGTATTAATTCGTATTCTAATCAAAACGTATAAAGCTCGCGTGAATGTATATGACGAAAATGGTCGTTCTCCGTTGCATATTAGTTGTTATGAAGATAAGTTGGATGCCTTACAAGCACTTTTAGAAAATGATGCTGATTTTATCAAAGGTATTCGACTGAATCCAAATGAGAATCCTGTCAGTATTTGTGTCAAACGTCAACATGATTCATGTTTGAAAGCAATATTCAAAGTAACTTCAACTTTTAATTGGAAACGATACTTTTCACAGTTACCTCGATCACCACTCCTATGTGATTTTCCAACATTAAGAGCGATTGAATTACTTATTGAACATGGTATAGACATCGATGCATGTGACGAAAGAGGAAATACATTGTTGCATTATTTAGTAAATAAAAAAGATATTGATTATGAAGAATATTTTAAAAAATTGATACAAGTAAATGCTGATTTTAACAAACAAAATCGTCTCGGACGTACACCGTTTCTTGAAGCATTAGAACAAAACAATTTTAATTTATTAGTTATTTTTCTAAAACATATAGATATAACAAACTTAAATGTGCTCGATTCACTCGGAAATACGGCATTACATTATTGTAAACTAATAACTGAACAAAATATTTTCGATAGTATATTACGATCAAATGGAATGTTGATTAATGCTCAAAATAGAGACGGACATACACCGTTGCATGATGCTGTTATTGTCGATAATATATCATTTGCACACTATTTACTCGTACACGGTGCAGATCCGACAATAACAGACAAAGATGGGAATACTCCTCTTCACTTAGCTGCCAGCGAAGATAATGTTCGAATGTGTAAACTTTTAACAAAAACTGAAATTGATTTAACGTCACAAAATAAACTGGGAAAAACGTCACTCCATTTGGCATGTGCAAATCAGATGGAAAATGTTGCTACAATGCTCATCAATAAAATGAGTACAAATATAAATGTTGTCGATCATAAACAGCGAACACCATTACACGAATGTGCCGAAAATAATAATGGATTATTAGCAAAATGTTTAATTCTACATGGAGCCGATGAAAATGTGAAAGATTCAAGAGGAAATACATTATTACATTTGGCATGCGAAAAGGGTAAATATCTTAAGACTTTTTATCATCATGTGTGATTGATAGCTTTTTTCAACTTGCAGGAAGTTTTGAATTGATTGATACATTACTAAAATCATCAAATTCTGATTTAAATCTTCTAAATAGTGATTTATATTCACCATTGAGTATAGCAATTTTATCTAATCATGATGATGTTGCTAATCTCCTGTTAAATCAGGAAAACATTCAGATACAATCAACTGATTTGAAAACAGCTATGAAAATGAATAATCCTGAAATGGTTCGAATATTAATTGAAAAAGATAGAAACTGTTTACATGTGAGATCATCAAGTCATGGCGATATGATTATCCATACATATATGAGAAAAAATTTTAATAATTTAGCGTGTCTTGAAACAGTTTTATCATTCGTTAGTGACAATGAATTATTAACATATTTATCTGAAGGTAGTTTATCGTACGGTGACAATTTATTACACATAGCTGGTAGGTGACAATAAAATGAATTTAAGTCATTTTTTTCGGTGCGAGACGCCAATGTTTCTTTTTTCCATTTATGTAGCTCGTGAAGATACTCCCAGTGCGCTTACATGTTTTCTAAATGTATCTAGTGTTAAATTTTGGTTTTGGGCGAATATGATGTTGACAAAAAATAATGATAATAAAACACCGATGGAACTAGCAAATGAATGTAAACATTATGCTGTCATTAAAATAATCAATACAAAATGGAAAGAGTCTTATGAAATTCTCTCACATTCATTGCGTGACGGTCATTGTGGTGTATCACCAACAGGTATCACTCAAGCTAAGCGTCGTTGTTTTAACTGCAAACAAAGTGGTCTAATTGAGATTAATTCGGGACTTGGTGAATCACTGTCATCTTCAGCGGATATAACCGTTCGTCCATGTGAAAAATGTAACATTTGTATTTATAAATCATTGGACAATTCAATGCAAACGTTTCTAGCATTACTGTTTAGTGATGAGAGCAGTTCAATAGCTTTAGATATTATGGATTCGCTAATCGTTATTAATGAAGTGCAAAAAGCGGTACAGCTCTATCTCGATCATATTGAACCATGGTAAGTTGCTGATTAACCGTAGTACATATAGGATTGATCGGTAGAAATGCCGATATATTATCGTTCTATGCTCTGATCTAGAGTCACATATATTTTAGTTTTTTCATTTTAGGGAAGAATTTGATAAAGTATATTTGAGTGACTCATCTCGATTAATTAACCAATTAGTAGTTACAGCCAGTGGAAAAAAAGTATGTGTTTGTACATATTTGATATAGATACAGTATCTTAATCAGTTGGACAAGAAGACATTTTTTTTAAAGGAAGAATCTTTTTCTTCAGAGTCACAAAAAATGGTCATATCTATAACTGATTCATTCAACAATACATTTTTGCTTCTTGTTTCAGAATAAACCTGTACCCAAGCCGATGGAAAACTCTCTTGAATTGCCGTTAGTTCAACATGGATCTACTCCATATGTATCTCCTCTATCACGACCATCCGTCACACCTAAATTTCGTCCTGACGGTACCCAGTTTCGTCCGATAACACCACTTGAAGCAATTTATTTTCATGAACGTCTTGATTTAGTCACACATCCATTAATAAAAGGTGACAATTTCTTTTTTCGTTATCAAAATTATTTTCAATTTCTTCTTTTCTTAGGTTTAATCAAATGGAAATGGGACAGTTATGCTGCTAAACATTTCTATATGTCAATGTTATTAGAGTTTTTTTTTTTAATTATATGGACATGTATCCTGCTAATCGAACCATTTCCCATTCGTCACAAGTATATTTTTCCAAAGCATATCTGGCGATGTGTGGTGTGGTCAGTGTCAATTATTTTTCTCATTTGGGAAATCGTACAAGAAATATCTGAAATTCGTTATGCACATCACAGATACGATGATTATTTGCTGTGGGAAACGGAGCGAACAACACGTATAAATCTACAATCGAAAAATCCAAATCCAAATCCAAATTCAAATTCCCAAACGAAACCACCTCAAATAACAACAGTCGAAACAGCAATGAAAAACGCTCCGGAAAATGCTAAAGTAGACAATACCATAAACTTGACAAATGAAACAAATTCACAACCAACAATAGCAGAAAATAAACGACATCGGTATCATCACCAACATGCAGAACGAGAATTACCAATGAAAACGCCATTACAAGCAAGATCCTCGGAACCAATTTTAATGGAGGGTTATTCATTGTCGTCTTCGGCTTCATCTGCTGGCTTTTTTCCTTCGTCAATTGAAGCAGAGAAGGGAAATGGTGCCTATTCAAAACAAGCATTGCCAAAGTCAGCAAAAAATGGTATCTCAACATCAGCCCAGGCAACCACACCGTCAAATGCCTCTCGTCCAGTACTATTCTATCGACGTTTACGTGCTCGTTTGAAAGCCCGTGTTAAATCTTATTATATTTATTACTCACTGAATAATTTATTCGACTGGATCTGCTATATTCTTTGCTTGATAACAATCATTACACATGCAGTTGATGTATCTCATCATAGCGTATTATATTCTCGTATTCATATGTATACTGCATCGGTAACGGTTATTTGTCTTTGGTTTCGATTTATGGTCTACTTTAGAACAATTTCAATAACAGCCAAAACGTTAAGATCAAAATTAGTTGAAATTAAACTGGGTGAATTAGTTATTATGGTATGTAGACAAATGGGAATAAATTTATTTTTAATTCTAATCAACATTGAGTACTACTTGTTCTACTGATGTGAGAGAAAGTTGTAGGAGATGTATAAAGAGTTTATCTGAAAACTAGTGAATTTGGGAAAAATACTTGGATACCTATCTTATAGTTGTTTTATTAAGGTATCGATTTTTTAGGGCTATTACAACACTTTGGGGTAAAAGCAGACAGCTTTATTGTATTATTGCCACTTACGAGGGAACCCGACCTTTCTCTGCAAAGTTATAGAATTTACAAAAAAAGCCGTGAATTCCTTTTTCCTTTTTCTTTCTCTGAGATGATAATGAACGTTTAGGGCTTTTCTTGTAAATTCCATAACTCTGCAAAGAAAGGTCATGTAGAGCTGAGAAATATCTCATTTTGATCAGACTTTCGCGGGCTACAATTGTGACTTATTTAGGAAAAGTTTTGAGGATTTTTCGACATTTCTGAAAAACTAGTTTTCGAGAAACCGGCTAGGAAAGGTCTATGGACCCAAATGAATATTATATTCAAAATCAGCATGGTCGATTACCTATAACCTTAAAAGAAATTTGGTTGAAAAATTTGCTTTTACACACGATGATAGATTTAATACTTTCCCGCACAATGGTGCAAAAATCATATGAAAATATGCAGTAGTTGAACCTCAACCCAACTCGTATGTAGTGGCGGAGCCAGGAGTTTGATCTAGAGGGGGCTCAGCCCAGAAATTTTCTAAATTCCGTCAGAGGTAAACTCATTTAAATTTAATGCTCGAAATCTATAAATTTTTTAGAGGAGGCTCTTGCTCATAGCTGGCTCCGCCACTACTCGTATGTCTCTTTTTACTCTAATGGATAAAAATTGAAAAAAGAAAACGTGGAATATGACCGATTATGTTTTAATCAGCTTAATAAGTTTCAATAACAATGAGCTCAAAATCGCATGGTAGAGAGAGGAAGATTCGGTCTACAATATGACGTGTTTTTGAACCAATTGTCTCTTCGGCTTAATTAAGATCTCTCAGTCATGGTTCCAAGGTAGATTTCTGCTCCGGAGGCCTCTAACAGCGAACTGTGCATTAAAAATCAATGTATTTGAATGGACCGTATTTTGTTACCTTAATCGTACAAACCATGAGGCGTCAGTACGCAAGAATGTGGATATTAAAACGAAAAACTTTTAATTTTTCTATTGGGTTAGTGGATTTTAGAATATCGGCTATATTTATCACTCACTGGTATTCTTTTATCGCAATAAGCGAAGAACTATAGAAAAGCTTACTACCGTTGCCCTAGCGGGCAAAAATGTGAAAACCTTCTTCCTACATATATACGCATAGTCTAATGAACATAGTGAAGAGTTACTATTTAAAGAAGAAATATTCTCATACACCAGGCGACTTCAAAGTGATCTCAGATGTACTTTAGTCCTTGTTGTGAAAAGGGCGATCTGGTTTCAAGCTAAAGTGTTGTTGTAAAAACAAAAGACTTTTTATAGTAATAAAATCCCTTAAATAAAGTATTTAGTGTATTAAGATGTTTCCAAATTCTCTTAAATCTCCATCTCAAACTTTGCAAAAATAGTCAATGTAAACTATATTTATATACAACGAGCAAACCTCTCCCTAGAATAAATTTCCATAAACCTTATAACAGGGTTTTTTCACGTTAAATATTTTTTTACTTGAGTAAAATAAAAAAATTACTACAAGTTGGTAAAGACTGAAGAAGAATATTATGAAAATCCGATAATAGAGCAAAATTTCGCTGTAGATCTTCTCGAAAAAAACGTACTTGTAGTACTCGAGAAAATCCATGCTCGCTCAGCTCTGTACCCGACATGTTTAAAAAATCTCAAAAAATTTGTAATCAGATTACAGCAATAACTGACTCTTTTTAATTTTATTTTTTCTGTCCTTTGGAAGAATAGAATAAATGATGTAAAAGCGCAAAAATCACTCATCTATTTTATATCTGTACTTATATTCTGATCAATTCATCTGAACATTTCTTTTATTATAAAAAATGTTGATAACTGACTAACTTCAAGGATTAAATTAGCAGTTTTTCTAGTTTTATAACTGTTGGTTTTTATTCTTTTTCTTTAGGTCAGAATGATGTTTGACGACATAATTCGTTTTTTGCTAGTATTTATATTTTTGTTAATGCCTTATGCTTTCGTATTCTATTCCGTTTTTGGTAGTAAGCAGATTCGACATCAAGACTTTGAGCAATCAAGTCATGTGTGTGAACAGGCTCTACTAGAATGTAATATCGATGAAAATCCCGTACCATTTGAACAAGATCAAAGTGGAAAAACACTATATCTTTTCAATGGAACAACAGAATTATGCATGAACGCAACTGAAATGTGTCGTATAATACAACCAGATGGCTTCGATACTTTTTATTCTCTGTTATTTAGTATATTCAGAATTGCACTCGTTGATGACAGTAAGTGTTACGAATAATATCTACAAAATTGACAGTAGCATAATATTTTAACTGCATTTTAGTTCCATTCCAAGATTTTCATCAAATCGATCGATATTTTGCTAGTTTCGTCTGTAGTACCTACTTGTTATTTACTGCTATTTTATCTGTCAACATCTTTATTGGTTTGATCAGTAACGCACTGCAAACTGACGCATTTTCAAGTGTTGAAGCACGTTTTCTAATGGAACGTGTAGAAGTTATATTGCACCATGAATGGCGTTTATCGAAACGAAAGCGTTTACAACTTCAGGAAATGTTACATCGACGATGTGCACCGCTGCAAATGAATTGGAAAGATATAAACTTTGATGCTTACGGTCAATCAAGAGAACAGCAACAAGCAAAAGCATTTCAAAGTTTTCGACAAGTAATTGATAAACGAAATCAACAGTTTGACACCTTTAAGATACAAATACAACAGAAACTAACCGAAATAGATACGTCACTAGGAAAAGTAATTCATGGACATCCAACAACAACTAAAAAACAAGGAACAATCAAACGCCCATCGATGGTACCCACAACCATTTCTTCTGCTCATTCACAAGAGCAGACAGGATCCTCAGCTGCCACTACATCACTTATACCACTTATTCAGGAAAGTCCACCAACACCTCAACCTCAACAACAGTCAAATCAAGTTATTATTGAAGAAATACAAAGGCTACGTGAATTACTCGAAGAATCATTACAACAAAAACGTTTGGAAACAGCTCCATCAACAGCAGAATCAACAACAGTTGGAGCTGTGAGAAAATCCACTCAATCTCAATCTGCATCATCTGATCTAAATGAAAGAGTGACCGACTTACAGCTAGCTGTGAATCGTTTACATCAAGATGTTGGTGCCATTCGTCAGACTCTCGAAAGAATGTCACCACTATCAGCTAGTCTCACTCTCGGAAGAACAGCTAGAAGGTAGTCGATAGGAGAGAGTCAAGTAGATGTTCTCTCTTGGTATTTTAATAAAAGATAGACGCTACGCAATGATACATTTCACATAATATATTATAATAAGTAGAACAAGAACAACCGGTTTTGAAAGTAGTAATTGTTGTGTTTCACATTTCAATGCTTCTAAATTATGTCAAATTTTTTTGTATTGTTTTTTTTTATTTGCTAATAAAACTTATTATCGTTTTATTTTTTTCTCATGTTAATGTCATTTATTACTTACTGTACAGAAATTTTATTTTTTCTATAATGAAAAAAGTAATATAAAAAATATTGTGTTAATTACTCGAACAATTTTCAGTACCATATTGTTTCGATAGTTTATTCCACTAAACTTTGAATTAAATTTAATACAGACACTTTATCAATTATTACACGCATCAATTATTACATTGATTCAAAAATGGTTGCCCTTAAAATACTATTAATATTGATCAGTTGACACCTCTTTTGATTTTATAAATCATCTAGATACGCGGACAACGGCCAGTGACTGTTACGTAAGACGAAAGAGGATATAATGAACCTAGCTCTTCTGGCAGAGCTGCAGTTGACGAGTAGTAACGAGATGCCCTAGACAAAACGTTTTTGGAAATTCTTATGGAAATCTTATCCGAATCTTATAATAATCTTATACAGGAAAACGCTCGAAAGTGCCACGAATTTCGTAACAGCCTTATAAGAATCCGATAAGAGATTTATAAGAACTTCGTAAGAAAGTGATAAGACTTTTTACGTTATTCTTATCTATCTTGATGTGTACTAATGAGTGTAATAACTTGCTATCCGATGGTGGCTCATGTGAGTACTATACAAAAGACACCTTTGTGATTGGTTCTAGTGCTTTATGAAGACAAGTATGTAAAGGATTTTGATGCATAGTACTGGTACTCGAGCTGCTCTATCTTCTACCACTTAGAGAGTCCGAATTGAATGCCACCTTTATAGAGGAAAACAGATCGAAAGCTTCGTATTGGCCTGATGCTGGTGTTACCCAAAATTGAAATTTTTGATTTGCTAAACGAAAATAATAAGCAGTCGAAAGTTCCTGTCTACGTTAATGAGATTAGCGATAATCTGCACACGCGAATTTTTTCTTCTTTTGTGCAGTATATTAAATGATATGTAAATCTCCTCTGAGAATAGAAGACCACTCCATAATAGAAGATCACCCCGAAACAGAAGACCACTTCGGCGAAATGTTTTTGAAAATAGGTAAAGGACATTCATTATTTTACGTTTTTTGTAGCTTAATCCTCGCTACGTTCAAACTTCTTTCCTTAATATAGTGTGTGTCAGAGTTGGAACCGGGCCGGCAGACAGGCCGGTCTCCACCGATCTTTTGCCGGTCTAGAAATATTTTCAAACCGGCCGGTGATCGACCGGTTTTAAATTCTTAGCATTTTTCTCTTCTTCGTTCAAGAAAACTGACGTGTTCTTCAGACATTAAATTTAAGACAAATGACTTAACATACAATAACCTATAATTAAAATAAGAACAAACCAGACTATTTTCTTCTTCTTTTGTTTCTTAGTCATTCTTTGATAGTGATACGGAAA